AAATTATTGACACGCCTCTTAAATTATTTTCTAAAAATTTTCGTCGCGCTGTCAAGTCAAAAATAAGTTGTGAGGCACTTCGTTTATGATTTACCAATTATAACCAATTAATTATTTATATCAACACTCGGATGCTCACAGGTATAGTGTCATCTATGTAAACACCCAATTAACACCATGCCAGCCCCAGGCGTTCACTGTTATCCAGGTGAGTCCAAGCTGCAATTTTTTACGCTTGAATGGCGTGTATACACACGCGCAATCAAAACTTCGAGAGATAGAGAGCAAAAAACAATGAAATGTGTGTAACGGGACCCAAGTCTTGGTTCGAGAGATAGAGAACTTCGAGATTGGAAGTTCGAGAGATCGGAAGTAAATTTGCTTAGTTATATAGAGGAAAAAAACGGGATCGGAGGTTCACTTCGAGAGATAGAGAACTTCGAGAGATCGGAGTTCGAGCCATCGAGAGTCACCTGTACATATATTTGAGGTCATAACATCATGCATGGACATGTTCAGAGTAGCAATACTTCCTTCTCAGAATCTGTAAGTCATTGAATCATAGATTCAGATGGTATTAAATGCTTAAATTGTCACATGTTAATATTCTTTTCCATATATACATGCAGTGTAATGTCATTTTCCAAAGTGAATTATTAACCATGATTTCTCAAAATTTGTCAGTAAATTTTCTTTAAAAAATGAACTTAATGACAGTTTTTACAATTAAAGTGATTAACCCAATTAAAGTAAATTTATAACATATAACCGCAATAATTAACAATTTTGGCATGCAACTGATTGGCATTTCTGTCATACAAGGTTGACAAGAAATGGGTTTGTATGGTGAGTTTATATGGTCTATAGGTCTACTGTGTTCCAGATTTCTAGTCTTCCTTTCTTTATATACTTGTACATGTTATATGTAGACAGCCTTAAGTTTCTGTGACTCATCAGATGAGAATTTGTCCCAATTCCTCTAGATAGTCCACCTGGTTTATATGGAGTCAATGTCTTCTGTGTGGTTTGGGATGTTACACTGCGACAGACAAGAGCCATCGCTATAGTCCACAAGGTCACATTTCTCGTGGTCCATAAATTAACAGTAAAGGAGAACAGCTGTCTGACCACAAAAATTACAAAACTGAGGGGCAAAAAGGAAAACAAGAGCACCCTCTTCCTTTGTTTTTCTGTTGAGCAATATTTAATTACTTCCATGTATATATACAGGCGAGCTTCCTTTTATAATTCTGATGCTTGTGTTCCCTATCAAGTTGTCTGGATTATTGAAGCTTCCGGATACCTGAGACGTACAGTCAAGCCTCGTTATTTCAGACTCTATGGGTCCAAGAAAACACTTCAAAATATCCAAGACTTCGAGATATTGATAGTAAAATACTTCAAGAAAATGAGGTTTGGACTTCCAATTCACTTTGACTTATCCATGATGTTCGAGATAGCGGTGTTCAAGATACCGAAGTTCAACTTACTTGGTATGTATATAAATATATATACTAGGTACAAAGTGTTCCTCACAATTTTGTCCAGAAGGTGAAGCGTCCGGATTTTGTCGGCCGTGTTAACAAGGCTCCACTGTACTGGTATTCAGTGAAGTAAAATTATTCTTTATACAAAAACATAATAGCGAAACACTAAAGGATATGTATGAATAACAGGTTCATTTATAATTATATATGAATGTACATCTAATTAAGAGCATGTGTTGACATCTGCACAATTTCATACATCTAAGCTTCTGTAATTAATGGCTGGAACTACACCTCCTGTTTTGATTAATCGACATAAAGCTCCTACTGGAGCCAGCATTATTTGACATGGACTGACTTCAGAATGATATGGAGTTTTTTAATCAGGACATCTGCTAAAGCTTAACATGCAGGCTTTATCTTTATCCAGGTTCTCTACTCTCAATCATCTGGTGTAGAAGCTTTCAAGCAGAAAATCTAAGGGATCAGACATTGATGAGTGTTACAGATTAATCTTTGGAGTTTTGTAAAATCTCTTGTTCACCTCTACTTTCACAAGCTTTGCTGATTATCATGGTTATCATTTCTTAATGTCTGTGTTGGTGTATTGAATTTAAATGTTGATAAGCTTTTGTATTTATAGTTTTTGGTACTTTGGAACTCTTCTTTCAGTTAGTGCCATTGCCATTAAAGTGCAGAGAATTGCAAATATGATCCTGAAAATGAGGTGTTGATGAGCGCTGTATGTTTGTTATACGGTCAAAGTTTAAGTTATTTCAAAATAATTCAGGGACAGCTAGTAAAAAACTAAGAGGTGTCTGAAGCTTCAAGATACTGAGGCTAAAATACATAAAGAATCATGTACATGGTATTTGAGATTTCAGTGTTCAACATGTTCAAGATACCAGAGAGAGTACAACTGTACTCTTTAGATTTAAGGAGGAGTATCCACATGATCCACTCTACAAAGGGAGATAATTCAGTATAATTGATAATTCAGTATGTTTCCTTTTATTTAATTTTCATTTTTGACAATGAGATTTAAGGAGGAATGTCTACTCTGCAAAGAGAGTTAATTCAGTATAATTGATAATTCAGTATGTTTCCTTTTATTTAATTTTCATCTCTGATACTGCAGTCAGTGCAGATTTGTCCCAATGTCGCCCATATCATATACTATATTTGCTTGAATATTAAGTTATTATTTCAATCAAAAATCATCTTAAAGAAAAAATTTCATTTTAGTGAGCAGCAAATGTCCTTTAGAATTTAACTGTAATATATGTATCCCAATACTTGTATCTAAGTCTCAGAGTGTGTGATTTTATAATATAAAGGAATACCATGATTTTAAACATTTTGATCCTTACATTAATCATGTTAATAGAGGACAGATTGCTCTACACATAAGATCACCCACAATTCAATCCCAGCATTGTTCTGTGGTTAATTAGAAGATTGATTGAGGATCTGATAGCCATTGTATTGTAAATATTTGTGTAGGATGAGTGAGCGATTTCTTACTATGGTCATTGTTAATGGGTGGTTTTAAATATGATTAAGTATTGAACATGAGGGGTACTTGGAATTCCTCCCTTATCTCTGACATTGTGATTGACCCTTTAATTGGCTGTCAAGGTCAGATTTATGTGTTCACATCTCCTTAAAGAGATAGAATGGTAATGCAAGTCTTTGAGTATGGAATTCTATAATAATCTACGTGTTTTGAAACGCAAATGCCTGAAGATAAACATAGAATGTCAATTGATTCAGTTGAAATTGTGTGATTAATATCACATTTCCTTAGGTTGAGAAAATATTACACTACTAACATGACTAATAATTAATAAAATATTATTTAATCTTAAGAAATATTGTATTATTTAATACTACATTTATTCAGGTTGAGTAAACATTAATTGCTGGAGATTTATGGATAAATTTTTTACTATATATTCTATACTTTTCTGGAAGTGCAAGGAAGTGTCAAGTTCCTGTGCAGTGTCACTCTGTGAACTTTAAAGATAGGAATTTCTTTTCAATCTATATCCCCCCCCCCCCCCACCACCACCACCCCCACCCCTTCCCTACCCACCCACCCCCCAAAATAAGAAGGGGAAGAAGAAGAAATAATGGGAATTCCCATTTACAGTGTACACTTGGTGATTGTATTATTATGTTTGATATTGATTCAAATGAATAAATTATCTAGAGGTAGCTAGTCACTTGTATTTTCTTCCTTTTGCTTATTTATGAAGAGGAAATTATTAAGATGGATTGAATTATTTAAATCAATTTATAGTCACCAGGATGCAAAATGTTAAGTTGTTTCCATTGTGAGTTTTTTAAAGTCACATTTTCATATTATTCTGAGAAAAGCAATTTGCATTGTGCAATATTCCATTTGATTGGCAAATTTAGAAAGGTTTGGGAAAGGAATATTTTTTGCAATTCTACTATAAATTGATTAAGTGGTTTTAAAGTCGGGGTTTAAAAAAAAAATCAAACAGTACCTTGAAGAGAGATTGAAAATTATAGTGAAGTAGAGCCCCCCATAAAGAGGTGTTTAAAATCTCACCGGGTTTAAATTAAAATGCAATTTTTGCAAGGTAGACAGATTTAAAAACTCTGTACATAACAATTTAGTGCATGGAGGTAATTCAAATTCTTTACAAAGAAATTCATTGCAAATTTTCTGACACTGCGTATGCATATGTTGCTGCATAATGGTGTTTTTGCTCAATTTTATCCTTCTATATAAAACTAAAATATAAAATTATAATGATCTTTTGTCATGTTGAATTTATAATCCTATAAATTTGTATTAGATGTATACTTGAGTTAAATCAAATGAAAGGTTTCATCATAATTGAGCTAGTTAAATATAAATTAAAATATGAAATTTCAGGTAATTATCAACATTAAATACATTATGATATTACACATGTTTACATCCATTTCAAATTGTTTATAAATTGTGTATAATAATGCACCATTTACCTTGAATACTACATTTATTTAAAACAATTCAATATGTGCATATTTAAATGGGGGATTTCAGAGTTTGATTTTTTTAAGTGGATATCCCCCCCCCCCTGAATAATTGAGAAAACAATCCTGGATCTGTGCATGGTGTGGAAACATTTAAAGCTGAGTTAGCTTCAATATGTACATGTGTGGAGTTATAATACTATGAGTCATTGGTAATGGTTTTATGTGATGTTCAAAATGAATTTTTAAGATATTTAGTGTATAAATTTTATACAAGTTGTAGTGTGCCTTTTATTTAATATTTATCCTTTATTCCTTCCCTCCCCCCCCCCCCCCCCATAATCACACACACAGACTAAAGTAATTGGTTGCAAGTTTCATGATCATGATGATAGCCTCATTTATACACGAACAAATGAATAATATAGCTTTAATAGTAAGAATGACTTCCTAAAGTAATGAATAAAAAAATGATCTGTAGTCACCGGTAATGATAATTTTGTTTTGTCTTTATTTTTTCAGAGGGAAGTTTGCTGTGGTACGCAAGTGTATCAATAATGAAACAGGCGAAGAGGTAGCGGCCAAATTTATCCGCAAGCGACGGAAAGGAAAGTCGTGTCGTGATGAAATCCTTAGAGAGGTGGTCATGTTAGAGCTTGGGTTAGAGCATCCCAGACTTGTGGATCTCAAAGAAGTGTTTGAGACGCAAACTGAGCTCATACTCATCACAGAGTAGTAAGTCAATCTCAGCTCATACTAATCACAGAGTAGTAAGTCAATCTCAGCTCATACTCATCACAGAGTAGAAAGTTAATCTCAGCTCATACTCATCACAGAGTAGTAAGTTAATCTCAGCTCATACTCATAGTAGTAAGTCAATCTCAAATCTCAGCTCATACTCATCACAGAGTAGTAAGTCAATCTTAGCTCATACTCATCACAGAGTAGTAAGTCAATCTTAGCTCATACTCATCACAGAGTAGTAAGTCAGTCTTAGCTCATACTCATCACAGAGTAGTAAGTCAGTCTCAGATCTCGGCTCATACTCATCACAGAGTAGTAAGTCAATCTCAACTCATACTCATCACAGAGTAGTAAGTCGAAGATTTTAATCCATATTCATTACATAGTAATTAGTCAATCTCAGATTTCAGCTCATGTTCATCACATTGAAATTAGTCATGCATTCTCATCATAGAGATCGAAGTTTATCAGTTTCAGATCTCAGACAAGTACTTTGGCATTCATAAAATCTCAAATGTGGCTTACTCATCACTTAATAGTTAGTAAACATCAAAATATTCAAACCAGCGCATAATAATCATTGTCTATTGAGTACAGCTCAAAATCTAAAGCCAAGCTTGTAGTAAAATAAAAGACAGGTGACAAGCTTCTGCAAAATGATTTACTTACAGTGGTTGAACTGTGTTTTGTTGCAACTTTCTATTATAATATTGTAAACCAACTATTATTCGTGTACAAGAAATATTTGCGAGTTTCGCAACCCTGCTTCACTCACGATTATTTCCTGCTGCAAACTATTTATTTCATTATGTATTGATGTAGAATATTTCCTTAGTAGCAAAACTTACTCGCCACGGATAAGTTTGAAACCGAGTAATCGCAAATAAAAATTGTTGCGAATAATAGTTGGTTTACAGTAGTTATATATATTTACTTCATAGTGTTGTATGTGTTATACATTCTATTCACAGTGTTGTATTATATTTCCAGTTGTGCTGGTGGCGAGTTATTCACAGAGTGTGTGATAGAGGAGTCCTTCAGTGAAGCTGACGTGGTCCGATTCCTGGCACAGATCCTAGAGGGCCTCGACTACCTCCATGAAAGAAATATAGTGCACTTAGATCTTAAGGTAAAGCTTAACAAATGACAGCTTTCTGTCTCTTATTGGAATCGGGAAAGGGGTCTCAACTGGCAGGCTTATGTTGCTTAATAGCAGAAACTGGCCACTGAATAATGTACCAAAATATATATTTTTTTAAAAATCGTGTTCATATTTTATAAGGAGGAAATAGATATGAATGGGAAAATATATTTTTTTATATGAATTGCTGCATGAATGATCATGTACAAAAACTGAAATATTAAATGATCATGTATACATGTACATGGAAATGTGTGGTCGCTAGAGTGTCATTTTCTGGTTGGTCATTGTAAATGAAGATAAAAAGAAATGTACTGCATACTTTTTGAGCATGTTGAAGTCAAGCAGACGTAGCTGACACACTACTTCAGAGCTGCCAATCATAAGGAAGAATTTTTACTTCTAAAGTGTAGATCTTTATGAGATATTTTTGTGCTAACCAATTTTAGCACGTAAAGGAGTTAACAAGTACATGATAAGTGAAAAGTCAAAAGTATAAAGACCCAACAACTGTTAGAATCAGCTGGGTTGCATCCTTTAAATTTATCCACTCAGTCTGAACATTAATTATGTTGTTAAGTTTAAGTAAGAGCCTTTTGTGTTTTACTCTTGATAGAACCAGTCAAATTCTTGTCTATGTGTGAAGGAACTTTTGGACCATAGAACAAAACAAGAAAAGACCCAAGTCTGCAACTGTGTTCCTTATCTGATTGGAAGACAAATTGCTAAGGTCTAGACTCTCTTAATTGAGTTTTGCTGAAGAGTGTTGATTTTAGAGCTCTTTCTGTCAGACAAAGAGAATTTGTCCCCAAGGACTTTTATTAGGATCATTTAAAAACTTGTATAGAGGCAGACTATATATGTAGAGAAAGTTTTATTGCCTGCCGACTATAACTCATGCTTATGAGTTTTGAAGAAAAGGGGGGAGGTGACATGTGGGTGAAGAAGAAAGGTTTATACTCTGTTAATGTGGTCGTAAAAGTATTGGAGGCTTCATTAAACTTCATTTTAACTGCAATGGCAGGTTCAGGATTGGTTAAGATGTTCAGTTTTTGCAGTGTTTAATGGAGGCCATATATTGCTCATAAATGTTAAAAGTGTACCTTTATGAAGTGAAGATGTGCAAAAAAAAAGCTTAGTAAGTGTGGAAAATAGAAAAATTACAAAACATGCAGAACATAACTTTACATTTTTCTGAACCATGAAGCAAAGCTTTTACTTAATATTTACTTTGTTGTTTTTGAAAATATACACACTAATGTATAAAAACAAAAACAAAAAAGGGAAAAAAATATTTAGCAATCTATGTTAGAAGTTCGTTTACCTTTTTCTTTGTTACTCATTAAAAAGAAAAAAACCACTAAAGCCCTTAAAGAGCATAGGAACAAGGTTTGACAGTTGTCAGGTAGTTGTAAGCAGGGCTGTGACAGCTGTAGGGAAGGGGAGGATCCGATATGTGACCAGTTGTTAGATAGTTGTAAGCAGATGTAGGGGAGAGGAGGATCCGATATTTGACCAGCTCTAGAATAACCTAACATGACAGATCACTGTGGCGTTTTTTAATTGAAATCTTGTTGTACAATAAAGTCATGCCAGTCTATTCATCTTGATCATGGTTAGTTTGTTTGGTGGGAGGTGAAGTGAAAGTGTCCGGGTTTTATGTTTAGCATGAGCTGTGGTTGTACAATACAAAATACCAGTCATTCTATGAGAGAGAGAGAAAGAGAGAGAGAGAGAGTTTTGCTTAAGGTGGTTCTGATTCAAGCTTGCACACACATACACAGACATGCACATGCTAAATGATATTCACATAATTTCATTATTAGGAATAAAATGTCTAAATGTTGTTTGATTTTGTTTTGTTTTGTTTTTGCTAGCCCCAGAATATATTATTTACAAAGCCATTTCCCCATGGGGATATTAAAGTCTGTGATCTCGGCTTTGCCTGTCTAGTTAACACAGGGGAGGATATTAGAGACATCATTGGTACTCCAGATTATGTAGGTAGGTATATATAGCAGGTGCCACTGTTGAGTTGGTAGGTATATAGTACAGGGTCTGCCTGTCTAGTTTACACAGTGAATAATATAAGAGACATTACCGTTACTCCAGATTATGTCAGTATATAGAGCAGGTGCCCCTGTTGAATTGGTAGGTATACAGTACCCTTGATTATCATGATTATGTGGATAGGTATATAACAGGTACTCCTGATTATGTGGATAGGTATATACCAGGTACTCCTGATTATGTGGATAGGTATATAACAAGTACTCTTGATTATGTGGATAGATATATAACAAGTACTCCTGATTATGTGGATAGGTATATAACTAGTACTCCTGATTATGTGGATAGGTATATAACATGTACTCCTGATTATGTGGATAGGTATATAACATATATTCCTGATTATATTGATAGGTATATAATGGGTACTGCTTATAATGTGAATAGGTATATAACTTTACAGGTACTCCTGATTATGTGGATAGGTATATAACAGGTAGTCCTGATTATGTGGATAGGTATATAACAGGTACTCCTGATTATGTGGATAGGTATATAACATGTACTCCTGAAAATGTGGCTATGTATATAACAGGTACTCTTGATTATGTGAATAGGTAATTAAATGTACTTTATTTATTTGGGTAGGTAAATCTGGTAAATAGTGGATTGACCAATGGCATTACAAAGAGAATCATTAAATCTATTAGTTGAGTTACCTTACCATGGTTTAACACTAGATATGTTGTTTAAATAGAGTAGTGTAAGGTGATAAAAGTTCATGTTCAGTGTAATTAACGTGATTAATTTTTATTTACTTTTATTCCATAGCTCCAGAAGTGCTGTCCTATGAACCTCTTGGTTTGTACACAGATATGTGGTAAGATAATTACTATAACACTCTAGCTTTATCATTAACACAGCATTATTAATGAATCTTTCACTTCTATGAACTTTGATATCAGATAATTCAAAGAAAACTGACTCATTCTTTGCAATTTTTTTGAAAAAAAAAATAGGCAGTACATATTTCCTTCTCTTGTAACCAATAGATAAGAGGGAGTAATTATATAAAACCAGCATGTCACTGGAGCATAATGAGGGTCTGGAATTTCTACTATATATAGAATTTCGTGGGATGATTCAGAATTGCAGGGGTCGTATATCATAAAATACTGTGACAAGCCACAGGCTGGCATAATAAGTATATGTAGTTACTCGAATCAACAAGTTCCTTATGGTTTTTTCATGTCCATTAATTTTTTTTAAATTAATTTTTTGTAATTATCTGAAGGACAACTGAAATTTTTCTCGTCATAGTAAAATTGCCTTTGTATTATATTGAGTATCAGAATTTAGAAAGTCTGTCTTGTGCTCAGGGATCGACATTAACGGTTGTCCGATTGCCTGGGACAAGTAAATTCTCAGTTCGGGCAGGTGAAATTGTCAACGTACTTGTCCGTTCGGGCAAGTGATTTTTACTCATACAAATGTTTATATTTACTTAGTTTACATTAATTTATGAATAAAACAATAAATTGAACACTTGATTTCTGCCACTTACCTGACAAAAAATGTTTTTGCATTCGGAATACCTTGCTAGCGTTTCTGGATTATACATTTCATTTAATAATCGGGTCCGTTATTTTCTTTCATAGTAAATATGTTCTACATCTAACAAAATTTTGTTAACTTCTTTTAAGAAATTAGATTATTTATTCACACACAGAATATAAGTACAGTGGAATACGATGTATCCTGATCAAGAAGATGTATGTTTCGTATCAAATATCTTCTTTTAGCGTTGCTTCACAGTTATCTCTGAAAATCACAATTCATAGAAGGATCCTACCGAAAATAATTTTTAAAAATATGAATTTTATTAAATGGAAACGAAGGGTTATTGCTGCATGGCAGTGTGTGTCAACAGGTTTAATTTACAAGTACAGTGGTATAATACATTTATGTACAAATGCAGCATCAAAATTTTTTCCAAGTAGCTCAACTTTCCAAATTGACAGTAGTGTATATTTGGTCATTTTTTTTTCCTTATCATAACTTTACAGTAATTAATAATTTTCTTCTTAAATTCTTTCCTAATTTTGGGCAACCAAGTTTTGCATTCGGACAAGTCAAAGTTTGAGATCACTTGCCCTTCGGGCAAGTGAATCTGAAAGTTAATGTCTATCCCAGGTGCTCATACAGTTTGAATGTACATTTTATAACATGATATATGTAATTGTAATTTACAAAAATTATTATTAAAAATTCTAATTAGGGAATTTCACTGTACAGTGTACATTATTTTCCGTGGGATTTCACTTCTAAATATTCATTTGACTTGATGTGGATAAAAAAGCAATGTTAAATAAAGGATTACTGTAGAAATTCCATCGCTATTAAAGAATGAAATATGTTCAGCTCACAGCAGAGGGTCAATAGACAAGTTACGGCTGGGGGAAAAACTGTCTCTAGGTGAAAGAAAGGGCTCATTTAAACGGTGAATTATGGACTGCAATATAAAGGATGGTGTTTGAATTGATAGATTTGCATTATAATGCCGAAAGTTGATCCAAAATTGCACTCTAATATAAAGAGGGGTTTTTTTAAAACTTTTTTTTAAAATATAAAGCTAGTATTATCAACCTGGACACTATGTGGTAATAGATATGGGAAATAGGAAATATGAGCTAGAAATGTACTTTCGACAAAAGCAGGTTTTGTGGGCGGGTTGAAAATGAGATGAAAATTGGAATGTGGAACATAAGTGGTCCGCAAGTTTCTTTTATCCTTACATTATTTTCTCAAAGTAATCAGCATTTTAAATGAGTTTTGTCTCCCTTTCAAGCATATCATTGATTTATTTTTTTCTTTTTTGCCTTTAATCATGACAATGCAAAATATTGTTTCTGAGGTAAAGTTTATTAGCAATAAAGGCAAATGTGTGGTGTTTAACATTGCTTTTATTCTCTTTCCCTGTCATGTATAGTTAGACTTTATGTCCTTTTAATATATATAAGCTCTCTGAGGGCTCATAAGAATTTGTCTGTTCATGTGGAAGGTGTCTTGTTTTTTTAGCCACGTTTTTTGTGTTGCGGGAGATTTTTTCTTAATTGCGGACTGATTGAAATTTTGGTAACTTAAATCATATACTTTGCCATCATTTCAAGCATTCAGCTTTTTAAAAAATGTACAGTTTCAATTTACTTAAACGTTTACTTCAAGTAGCTTTCATAATGATGAGGAAACAGTTCCTAATATGTATTACATCTTTTTGTAGAAATCCTGAAGTTTTAATGCATGTTGTTCCTTATGACTCGGAGACTTTTTGTCATGAATTATTCAAGGATGCACTGTACCATTCAATGAATATTCACCTGAATTTACTTCATTTTAACAGCTTTGCATGTATTACAATATAACTTTCTAAATTTAATTTTCTCGATGACTGTGTTTACATAGTGTTTCACAAGGGAATGAGGAATTCAATATTTTTTTCACAAAGATTTTAATCCATGTTGATATAAATAATTTTGTCTGTGCCAGGCGGGGGGTAAAGAATTGCTCAATGTAACTTTATTAACACAAACACTTACGGGGACTTCCGTTTGAAGTACGGGGTTCCGCAGACTTCCTGTTCAGTAAATGACTATTTCCTCAATTACATTACATGCCATGTCAGGACAAGGTCTTGAGGGGTCACACCAGTGTTTTCACCCATATTTAAAAGGCAGCCTTTTTCATCTATTTTGGGAAGGTTTTACATTGAAATCTTTAAAAAAAAATTGGGAAGATTTAGTTTATTTTGGGAAAAATGACCACATTTCCTAGAGGAAACTGCCTCAATTCAACTTTGATTTTGGTTTATGTAAAACTCTCTCTGCACAATCAATAATGAAGGATGATAGGTTCAGTCTGTTTAATTAGGAACCCTTTGTTTGGAAATTAGTCATGTACATTTGAAGGTAAAATGAATACCAGGTAATAATTAAGTTTAACTGCTTAGATTTTAATTTTTCATTCAAAATTTCACAGTTATGTCCTAAAAAGTGATAAAAAGTGTATATAAATAGATTTATAATGTTGATTGCAGAAAGGTAGAGTTTTAAACATCATAGAAAAGTTTACAATTTCTTAATATTTTAGAATTTGATTTGAACTTATTTTATTGTTTAGATGTTACAACAAACAGATCAGACACAAGTTCTTAAAACTTAGAACGTCCTCTCCTTTAAATTTAGAATTTGATATATGCATCACTTACGACCAAAATAGGTCCCAAAATATATACCAATGTAGGCATCCATATTTTTTTATCATCTATTCTTAATATGGATTGGGTGTGCTGATAGAATTCAAGCCTTCACTTGGTCTGGATGTTCCAGTAAGAGTTCATTATATAGGGACTGCTGATATGAATTAAACATCTACTAATAATGATGATGTGATGATAAAACAAAATTTATAGCTCCATTTTGTTACATGTAAGGTGAAGCATAAAAGCCTGATTTCATTAAGGTGTTTTGGCTAGGCTGTGCTGTTTAGAGTTGAGCTTTCACTTGGTTATGTATTTTAATAGGAGTTAAGCTTCCTTTGGTTTGGTTTGCTGGCTCAACTTCATTTAAGGTGTGCAGATAGGAATCTGGCCTTTATTTAATATATTAGGGTGTGCTGATAAGAAGCGAGTCCTCACTTGCTTAGGTGTGCTGAAAGAGTTGAGTTTTCATTTGGTGAGGGTGTTATGATATAGAAGTTGAGTCTACATGTGGTAAGAGTAGGATAGTAGACTTTCATTTCTTAACATCTCATCCTAAAGTTTAAAACTTACTAATAAAGGTATACTGATTTGACGGGTTCTTTTCACAGGATAATTCTAAATTTTCAACAAAGGATTGTTGCAAAAATGTAACCAAATTAATTACTCAGACCTGACACTCATGACTGATGGTCAAAAATTTAACAAATGTTTGGATGGCTTATTTATGGGTCTAACTGTTACCAATTTTTAAAAGGATTATTTTGATGTGGTTTTTGATATATACAGAATCAAAGTGAGTTGAGTGTTTGTTTCCATTTCGTAGCCATGTTTATAGTTAAGAATGTCAGTAACCCTGATAAGCCTAGAAAAAAATCAGATTGAGCGTCTTAATAATATGTTTTGTCATCTCTTCAGAAAGTACATTCTTAGATGTAAACTGTATATATTCAATTAATACTTACAATCCTCTTTACATTTACATATGGGGGTAATAGATTTACACAGAATGAATTGAAAAGATCCAAATTAGTTCTCAATCCTTTTGTGGTTGCTCTTTGCAGACTGTGGGTGTTCTGAATGTTTTATTAATGAGACCTAATTTGAGCTGGGGTTGAAGCTTTGATGTGACTCTGATCCTCAAGGCTATAAATACACAGATGGGGCGGACGATGTCCGTAGTGTTGTTTACAGCATGTAAGCTGTGATTTATCTTCTCAGTGGATCCATGTACGTCATTCCGGTGATGGAATGTCACACTCTTTTGTATTTTGTTAAGATTAAGACTTGGTGATGCAGTGTTAGGCAAGTCTTAAGGATGTGTTTTCCTCTCAGCTAGGTTGATGTAAGGACAGTCAGTGTCTGCTTGCACTGCAGCTTATTAGGTGATAATAGATGGCATGTAATCAATTAATTTGTCCTTTGCTGGCGTATTTATCCTGAAAAAAAATTATGACCTGCTGCACACTGAAATGGATTTTTTCTGTATTTTTTTTTTTTTTACTTTTACCTTAAAAGAAGATGTATATTGGAGTGAAATTGAAACAAATTTAGTATACCTTACCAGGCAATATTGGGAGGGGGAATGTTGAAAAATTGAAGAAACTTTTTATAAAGGAAAGAGTGATTAATCAGATTGAGTTATTTACCTTACACAGAGGGTCATGCTGCATTAATATCAGTATTCACAATCAAAATCAACAAGAAAAGGGAGTAGTATGTGCATTCTGTGTACTATTGTTCCACAAACCAACCACCTCTAATCACACCAGAAGTCTTTGTGTGCATATGGTGTAGTAGATTTGTTACTTAATATTTAATTTTTTTTTTTAATAAGAATTGAGGAAAGGTTTATGTGCCCCCTCCTCTCCAGAAAAAAAGGAAAGAAGAGATTGCTAAATTACTAGTAGTAGTGATTATTTAAACAGTTTAAATCTGTATGTAGGTAGTTTTAATTTTAGGGTGAAAAGATCAATCTTATGAGGTTTTAGTAAAATTGTGTCTTTTGAGTTTAAAAGGTACACAATAGACATGATCTTAACTGAATACTTTTATCTGAAAATCTTCAGTATTGAATGCTAATCACTTTGTCTATTTATAGGAGTCTAGGGATACTGACTTGATCTTTAGTATTGAATGCTAATCACTTTGTCTATTTATAGGAGTCTAGGGGTACTGACTTGATCTTCAGTATTGAATGCTAATCACTTTGTCTATTTATAGGAGTCTAGGGGTACTGACTTTATCTTTAGCATTGATGCTAATCACTTTGTCTATTTTTAGGAGTCTAGGGATACTGACTTTGTCTATTTTTAGGAGTCTAGGGGTACTGACTTTGTCTATTTATAAGAGTCTAGGCCTTTAGGGGTACTGACTTTGTCTATTTATAGGAGTCCAGGGGTACTGACTTAATCTTTAGTATTGAATGCTAATCACTTCCTTTATTTATAGGAGTCTAGGGATACTGACTTAATCTTCAGCATTGAATGCTAATCACTTTGTCTATTTATAGGAGTCTGGGAGTACTGACGTACGTCATGCTGACCGCCCATTCACCGTTTGCTGGTAAGGACAATCAGGAGACTTTCCTTAACATATCACAGGTCAACCTGGACTTCCCCGAAAGTCTATTTAAGGACACATCGCCCCTGGCCCAGGACTTTATCACCAAGTTACTGGTCAAAGACCCAGAGTAAGTGATGAGGAATTTTAAAAAATATATATATACAGATATAAACAATAAATTGTCTGTTTGTTAATACATGTATTGGAATTAATGATTGCTAGCATTGCAGAAAAGATTTACTGGATGAAAGGCAGGTAATGCATTATTCCCATTAAGGTTGCAATCATTGCAGAATTTTTTTTTCCCAGGGTTTCAATCATCATTAATTCCTGTATTAACAAAGAAAGAAAGCATTATTTTAATAAATTGTTTAAATGAAACCCTTTCTACAGTAATGTACATTTATCAGTTATTTATATATGAAAAATTTGCATTGTCAGTATGAAATGGTTTGAAAGAGCTAGATTTTACTAGAGAGAACATTGTATTAACTTTAACTACATGTGAATGATAACTTTTGCAGGGAAAGATTGACTGCCAAACAATGTTTACAACATCCTTGGGTAGCTGGCCGAGTGGATCCTGAAAAAATCCTCGAGATCTCCATTGAAGAAAAAGGAGAAATGGAGGACTGTGACAAATCAGTGTTCACCAATCAGGACAAAGAAAGCGAATTCAGTGTAACCAATGAAAACAGTTCTGAGTGTGAACCATCCAATCAGAGTTCGGAAAATAGCAGGTTGAACAAAGAAAATCCAGAAGAAGTGTTAAAGGAAAGTTTGAAAGAAAACATTTCAACGGAAAAAGATACTTGTCAAGAAAAAGACTTGAAGAAGTTAATTCTGTGTTCAAACATTTTGGATAAAGTGACAGAAGAAAACAGCTCTTCAATGTGCAATGAAAACATAGACACTAGTGTGTGTCATAGTTGTAAGCATATATCTGATTGGTCTTCCACTGGAGAAGACAATATGGAACTTGCTGAGGATATCGATAATAAAGTGTCCCTGGTGTAATGATTTATTTTTTTGCTGTAAAATGCTAACATTTTTATAGAGGAATTTTTAAAAAAAAAAATGGTCGTATTTTGGGAAATATAGCCAGGGTTTTTGTAATACAGTTAAGTTTCAACTGGTTATATAAAAACACATTAGGAAAATTTTCTTTTTATTTTCTGTAGACATGAGCTTGGGTTACAGTCAAAGATTTTTGTTCACTCACTTTGCCATTAGATGGTGCAGTTTGAATATGTCTTCAATGGGCTGTATACAATGGAAGGTGTTTTGTCTATTTACATGATTTAGTAAGCTACTTATATGTCACAGAGTATATTTCGCTTCATGTAATTGTTAAATTGTTGAGAATTCTTTTAACAATTGTGACCAAGCTTACACCAAGTTTTTTTTTCTTTTATTACACATTATGTGTTGTTCTGTCTTTAATAATTTTCCAGGATTTGTTAGAAAATAAGTCATTAAAAAATTTGGGATCAAATCCATGTCAGATATAAATATGATTATATATGTATATTTTAACTGTATTATGAGTACATTGATCAGATCCACAGTGGACCAAAGAGAAATATCTCCTCACGTAGCAATAGTTTACATGTAGTTTATTTTTTTCCCTTGTGAACAAAACACAAGGATTTACAAATGATTCCAATGTTTATCTACATTCAATGTCACGTATCTAAATGTGTGTACTAGGGTCCAGTGAAACTTGAATAATGAAGGTGTTTTTCTTTCCTGGTTCATTTGTGGTAGTGAAATTATTTGTGTGTGTATTTTGTTATAGGTACATTTGGTTTTGCTGCACTTTGTTATCAGTTTCATGACATTTCAGAAACAATATCTCAGACATTTTTTTCTCATATGTATCTCAGGCTTTTTGCACTTTTTCAGCTGGTTTACTTTAGTAACTTGTGTTATACCTGCCCCACACTTCCACTCTTCAGAGAGTGGTTGCATTCAAGCAGTGTTACTTTGTGTCCCTTTTCCAAAACCCTTACATTTGGCAACATCCACATAAATATGGGGGATTCTTACTGTAGAAGTCTGTCTTTTCATGTATGTACCACAAAGTAAGCAGAACTAGAGAAAAAAGGAGGCAGTTCTTATAAGGGATTAAAATATTTTGCATTCATCAGATGGATAATTAAAAAAAAAGTAATTAGACATGTATATTTAAAAAAGAAAAAAAACTTATCTTCATATTACATATTCAGTTTTTAATTTTCTTTTTTTCTCCCAAAATTTTAACATAATTGCTCACAAAATCAATGCTAGAAATTTTTTCCATTTTGTCATGTTTTCATAGGGCAAAGATTAATTAATGCAATTTAAAGCAATATTTTTGTCTGATGATTAGGGTTAATAAAATTAATATACATTTTTTTACACACTGTAAACATTCCCATACACAGTTTTTTTCAGGGTACAGGGAAACATCTAGTGCATCATCTCTCAGGCATTAAATATTTATCAGGCATTCTAATTGTAGGGGGAAAATGTAGTGGTAAAAGATTTTTGCATTCTAAACAAGATGGGAAAATATTGGAGAAAGATTAATTTGTCAATAGATAAACCCAGTATGTCTTTGTAGACTCGATACTTTGTCATTATATCAGTTTTCGGTTTGTGATGGAGTTATTCCCCCCTCCATACACTTCAGTCATTTTTGTTAATGTAACCTATGAGCTCTTTTGTATTCCACTGAAAGCTAACACTTTAATGACATATCTCAAGCTTATATTATATCTGTTTGCAAATTGTAACCATGGTAACCAAGAAATGGATGCAAGAGTGCCAAAGTGCGTGACATATCTATCAGGAGAACCAGTACACTTTTTTTTTTTACATGTAGGGTCCAATAGATTTTCTTTTGTCTCAGTGACTTGTGTTGAACCACTCCAAAGAGGAAACCAATTCCATTGTTGTATTATGATTTTATAGGTACTCGCATACTGTGTACAGCTTAGATAGATGTGTATGATAGTCTCCCCTGATCGTCTTGCTTTCGTTTTTTTTTTCTCGTTGTGTATGTAGGTGTGAGATACTTGTTAATATATTTGCAGTATCTATGCAAAATTATATTTTTGCGTATGCTTTGTTGCTTTTTACTATGTTTTTAGTAACTTGGACATTCAACTGATGGGGTACACACAGTTTTTATTTGAATAAGACAGATATTGATAATATTGTCATAAATTTTCATATTCAGAGGAGGGTTTTTTTTCTTCTAAAATATATGATATATATATTGCATTTTTATTTTTACAAGATCACGTAAAGTGCTTCTCTGGCTTAGTTTTCACGTCTGTTGGCCACTTGTCAGTAATTAATTTCTGTTGTTACATGTATATTCTAAGTCTGCTTAAAAAGAAATTTTTGTGCCTCTTTTACAAAATGCGCCATTTTTAAAAACTTAACAGGAACCCCATTGAGACATTGAAAAAACAGAATCTAAACTACAGAAAGATTCTTGTTCAATAATTTGATTATTCATATAGCCAAACTGTTGTTAAGGAAAAGATTTTTACTTCCATGAATTTTCTTAACTGTGCAAATTTAATGAAAGGACATTTATATTTAACAGGCAATAAGGTACATAGAAGAACACCCCATGTTCCACTGTAAGCTGAAAAATTCTGTCCCAGCAATTATGTGCTATAAAGGAACATTCTGAAAGTTTATCTTTTGTTTGAGCACAGTGTAAAAACAAAGGGGGAGGGGGAATTCCCTCGAGATAAAAGTATGTGACTTTTTCTTTCAAACTTACAGTACAAAGGAAATCAATAATTATGAATTTTTACAAGAGGAAGTAATGTGTTTTTACACAGATCTGTTTGTTAAATAGGTGTGTATGAAGTTGAATGGACTAACTTTATGTACACAGGAAATATTTTTATGTCACATTTTTTTTTATTAAAAGCTGTGCTTGAGTTCATTACAACACTTTTAATCACTGATAGGAAGTGTGAACAATGTACTTTATTGGTATACATATATCATCCTTTTAGAATATATCTACCAATACTTATTGTCAAATATTTAAGAACCAGTTTTCAATCCTTAAACCACAATAGTACACTATTCAATAAGAGTACTAAGTAAAAAGATAAAAGTGTCTTGGAATGATTTCAGTAAATATACTCTCTTTCAGTTTATTGTTCTTGTGTAAAGTGCAGATTTCATCAATCATGAATTTAGGGATTCAGTCAATCTTACTGATTTCCTGATCAAATTTAAAGAGACTAAATAATGAAAAAAAATTGTTACTCTGTAGGATAGTGGGAAGAATACAGGCATAAAAATAATTGATTCTTCTGACTCTTTGATCATTTATTAATTCACTGAAGACATACAGAATCACTTTGTTAAACTTCAGACGTGTAAAATTTTATAAAACCAGACAAGAGCACAAATAATTTTGCAAAACAATGTAGACTGTAGTACAGTCTGAGATTTCTCATTAACAGATGCACTTCTAAAAGGATATTTCAGAAATTATGTTTATGTGCACTTGTATTCTGATATAGATTCCATACATTTTTTTTTCCTCTGTTGATGTTTTATGTGGGTGTCTTACGTTGTGTATATTTTCGTTAGAGATAGTCCACATTTTCTCTGTCAGTTTTTCTCCCCCCTGTATTGATGCTATTGTTACTGGTAGACATATTTTTATTTTATACAATTAACAAGTAGAAAAATCCGCAATAAATCATTGCAAGCTATGAAATATTGTTTTGTTTTATTGGGAAAAAAATTGATTTTAAGAAGGCTCTTCGCCTGTTGCAGTATTCACTATAATCTATTTAACTCCTCACAGCAAAGTTGCTTTGGGTGTTCATCTGTACAATAATTGTGGAATCTCTACCAAGTTCACTTCCTCTATCCTTAAACAGTACTGGTTGACCTTTCCATGAGACGTGTACTTGCTACAAAGGTATTTGGTGGCCAAGGGAGGAAGAGGCCAATGAATTACAGGATCAATAATTCAAGGGGCAAGGGCAGTAAATATTATACAATTATTGCTGTTTTTTCAGGCTTGGTGATTATTGTACTCCTCAGGTGGCTAAATCATTGTATTGACTGAAAAAAAAAAACAGCAATAATAGATTTACTATATGATTCATTAATATTAAATGATGTAAACTCATTAAGTAATCCATGCCATCTGACTTTTTACATTTGCTGAAGTCCTAGCCAAATGCAATGAGAGAAACTGGGTTAAAATAAAAATAACCAGTTGCATTAATTTAGAATTCTTAAATCTATATTAGGTGTGATGTAGAAAAAATATATGTCAGGCACATATAAAGGATCAATTTTAAAAAGGGAGGTATTATAATGAAAAAAAAATGATAACTTACCTGAATAAAAACCTTGACTAGCCCCCCCCCCTTCCCAAAAAGGAGAATTCTTCCAACTACAATTTTATTTTGTGGTGGGGGGGGGGGGGGGGGGGGGGAGGAGGGGGATATAGGGTGTTAAGGTCCATTAACTGGGGGGCACCAGCCCTTCAATGAACATTTTATACTACATAAGTAAAATTTATTTTTGTGTTCTTAAAAATGGGGGGAAGGGGTCAGGTCCCCTGCAAACTCCCCCAACCCACCCCTTACCCCAGATTAATATGTTCACTTGAGTGGAAGTCAGATGCAAGAGAAATAACCTTCCAAAACTATTTGTATCGCTTTGGAATTTCCTAATCTATTTTTCGTCCAATGTGGAAAAAAATAAATCCTTATATTCACCTGGAAAGTCACATGGAGGTGACTAAAACATAGTATTTTTAGATCACCGGAGTCACTCAGGTGACCCATTGCTGTCTTTTTTGGTCCGTTGTCATCCATTGGTCGTAAACTTTTTAACATTTTCAGCTTCTTCTCTTAACCCGCTGAACCAATTTCAACCAATTTTGGCATATAGCATCATTTGGTGAAGGGGTAGAAAAATTGTGAATTTCTTGCCCCCCCCCCCCCCTCCCCGGGAATCAGGGGTTTGGCTAAAACCATCAAAATAAGTGCTATTTTAAAAAATCCTCTTTACACCTGGACATGAAGCAGTCAAACTGTTGGCATGATTGTAATGAGCATTAAGCCCTCTACCAAAATTGTGAAATTCATTGCTCCAGGCGTTTTAGATTTGGGGTGGGGCTCTAATGATCTTATAGTGAAAAGACATAAATACTTTAAAAATCTTCTTTTCTCCCCCTGTATATTTAAAAAAAATTAACAAGGTGCCTGATTATGATGAGCAAGGGTGCCTTTTTCAAAATTGTGTTCTGGTGTTAGGGCGGGGCTCTAATGATTATACAATCATGTATAGTGAAAATGCATAAATACTTAAAAAATATTCTTCTCTCACCCTCTGTATTTAAAAGATAAACTAGGTGTCTGGTTATATTGAGCAAGGGTGCTTCTTCCAAAATTGTGAAATTTGTGGCTCAAGGGTCGGGGTTCATAGTGAAAATGCAAAATTCTTTTACAATCTTCTCTCCCCCAGTATATTTAGCAAATAAACTAGGTACATGTACATGGTTATGATGAGTAAGGGTACGTGCGGGCCTCTTCCAAAATTGTGAAATTTGTGGCCCCAGTGTCAGGGGATCTGGAGTTAGAGCGGAGCTCTAATGGTCATATAGCGAAACTGTATAAATTCTTTGAAAATCTTCATCTTCCTGCTCCTGGGTATTAAGCAAACTAATTGCATATTTATGGTAACCAAATGTGCCTCTTCCAAAATTGAGAGAACAAGATAGACCAATGTGAGATGTGAAATTATTCTTATAGTGCTGAAGCACTTTTATTTTGTTTAGTCAGAACCAGAATATTGATATAGTGCAAAAATGGGGGTAGGTACAGACAAGTAAATAGATCCGCTTTAACATTTGTTACTGAGTAAAAGACTAATTGTTTTTTTGATCCCTGCTCATCTGATTTCTTGTGCTTTTGGGCAACATAGCTTCGATCATCTATCAGTTTATTTTTGTTTTATTTTATCCTTCTGTGGATCTTTTACAATGTTGTATTATACTCAGGTGACCGATAAGGTACTTGGACCTCTTGTTTCTAACATTGTTGGATCTCAGGCAGTCAGAGAGATGGGAATTATTCAATCATATGATAAATATTATTATAACAGTAACTTCATCTGAAGGGCCGTATCACGTCAAGTTGAAAGGTGTGGATCATCAGATCAAACGAGACGCGAAGATTTGATACAGCTCTTTGGATCAAGTGAGTATTGTAATGATAATTTATTACATACCCCTGTATCATTACCTCAATATAATTTTTAAAAAACTAGAGGTACTGTAAGTGAGCTCACAAAATTATACCCCTTTCCCTTTTTAACTCATCTCAACGGAGTTTGGGGGAGCTTTTGTAATTACCCTCGGCGTCTTAGGTTAAAGTCTTTGGAGCAGATTTCAAGAACTTCTATGTCCTATATTAATCAGAGATGCATGGACGATGCTTCTAGTATGTTTCATTGTACCAGTCAAAGCTTCAGATGCTGCAATTTCAGCTCAAAAATGACCAAGTTAATGTTTTTGGTGTAGGTTAACCTTTTTGGAACAAGTTAAAGTTTTTGGAGCAGGTCTCATTTCCAAGTGAATATAAGCTTTATATTGTCCAAACTTGTAGGCTTGCTTCGGATGCTGGATTTGACCTTAATTTTCCAGATGAGTGACCAGGTTAAAGTTTTTTGGAGCAGGTTCATTCTAAAGTAACTATAAGCCCTATGTTGACCAAACTTGCAGGGCTGATACATCTCAGGACGCAGTCTATTGGACTTGCTTGGGATGCTGAATTTGACTTTACATTTTTTTGATGAGTAACTAATTTAAAGTTTCATTCAAATTCATTCCCAAGTGACTGCAAGCCCTATCAGACTAAAATTGCATACTAGTAAATATTGCATCTAGGCTTGCAAACTATTAGATTATTTGTTTAGTGTGGGACATTGCCTTACTGAAACATGCGTGGATCTAGGAATTTACAGAGTTATTAAATGTATATACTAAACAAACTAAAAGTGACCTTGCCCCCCTAGAAAACGCGGACCCCCTCGAAAACGCGGATCTGTATAAAGTTTGCACGAAAAGTCATAGGTATTAAGTCAACGACTCCCCCCCCCCCCCTCCCCCCACGAAATAGGTTTTTTCACGTTTGGGAAAGGAGTTCAGGTTTTTTTTTTGCTTGTCAAGAATTTTTTTGACTGGGGTGGATTCCCTCCCCCCCCCCCCCCCCCCTTCTGGAAAAAAATTCCTGGAACCGCCTGTTAAAGAACAACATTTGTTAAGGTGAGCTCTTTAATCTCTCATTACCTATGTTTTTTTTAAAGTTCCCATTCAAATTTTATAAATGTGATCTTGAACTTGCCAAAAAGAAAAAAAGGACACATTCTTTGGTCATAAGTGATCTTTAGTTACTAGTAATTGGACAAAAAATTTATACTTTTTTGCCAGTGACCTTGAACTCTCCGATATGACCTTGGGTCAAGGTCATGACACCCTCTCGGGTGACAATAATTAATATCGTTACCAAGTATGAGCTTACAGTGTTTCTACATAAGAAAGTTAGACTAGACAAGACTGCACGAACAGACGGATAGATGGACTGACAGACAAGGTGATTCCTACCCCCCCCCCCCCAAAAAAAAAAAAAACAAAAAAAAAACTTTGTTTGTAGGGGTATAAATATTGGGATCAGTTATAAAACGTTTGTGTATTTTACAAAACACTCTTTTCAAGGAATTTTCTGATATGCAAGAAAATAACGTCATATATTCTGTGTACTACATCATAAGTTTCAGAGAGGGGTGATATGGATTCAGAAAACCACGGTTGGGTTATCTGGAAAGTTGGATCACACTGTCACGATTGCATGGAATCAACAGTAAAATAAGTGATGCACAGCTGGGCAAACATGTATATGATAAAAGAATTTACTCGCTATAGAGATTGATACGTGACCATTTAATGGTCGTACTTTATTTAAAACCCCAGACGAAAAAGAGGAATATTTAGATCAAGACCACTGCTGTTTTAACACTAAACGTTACTTGAATGCAAGAGACTATAAAATTAAACTTCAGTTTTTAAACACTTGAAATATGGATATTATGGAGCTTTCTGACAATAGTAAAATCACACATGGAGTTTAACAAAGGTCAAACTTACAGTACTAGACATGCAATACTGATCAGAAAATGAGACACAGTTTATGGCTAGCTCATTTTTGGCATAGAGGTTGCTTATGACTTGAGGTCATTGGAAGGTTTCAAAAAATAAGATTTAACAAGATATGTTTATAAAACACTGAGGCCCCCATATGACAGCTCATTGCCAAGGTTAAAGTTTCTCAAATGAAAGTCTAACTATAAAGCAATAAAGGTAAAAGATGCTGTTACCCAAGGAAAGGTTTTGTTATAAAGAATACGAGACATAAACTATGAAAGCCCTTGCAGCAACCACTCAGGAACTATGGCCAAGATTTGTTTTTTCAAAAGTAGGTCAAACTCGAAGATCAAGACAATGAGGTAAAAAAAAATATTGGTACTTGAGAAAAGGTTTTGTCACAAGAAAACACCTGCGAACTATGAAATTTCTAGCAACAAGTGTTAAAAAGTTAGGGCCGGTAGACACGGTAAGGCTTGCCTTATAAGTCTAAAACCTTACGTTTTGCAGGATGTACGGCTCTAGCTCGTGTCCTTACGTTAAGGCAAGACTTA